GTAACTTCCTAAACATAGAGATATTTTAGAGCCAAATCTCTCTCTCTCTCCACACACACAGACCACAAACAAAAACCAATGCATGCACACATAAATGAAAGAATTTTTAGTGTGTGAGATTTAGATTCTGAACTCTTCTGACTCCTGTTTTTCTTATTTCTTCAGAATGAAAGCAGAGGACTTTACACAGGAGATGGTTCAGTGGATATTAGGGGGCAACCTGTGTTGAAGAGGAATACTGGAAATTGGAGAGCATGCCCCTTTATTCTTGGTATAGCAAGTCCTAATATGCTGCATTTATGCGTCTAGGATTCCATCTTTTCCTCTAATATCTTTTAATTTAAAACAGGTACTGAATGTTGTGAACGCTTGGCTTATTATGGGATTGCTACAAATCTTGTCACTTATCTCACCAAGAAATTGCATGAAGGAAATGTCTCTGCGGCAAGAAATGTTTCCACTTGGGCAGGGACTTGCTACCTAACACCCCTTATTGGAGCAGTCTTGGCAGATGCATATTGGGGAAGATATTGGACAATAGCTGCCTTCTCCACAATTTATTTCATTGTAAGTATTATAATTGCCAGCTGTCACTTTACTGAAAATTTTGTCCATATAGACTGGAACAAACTTTTATTTTCCATTATGGAATCTATCCTTGTCCTTGTACCTGTAAGACATGCATTAAGTCATGTCTTATTTACTGATCAAATCCTTGACTGTTGTTTGAATGATCATTTAGCTTCCAATTATGTATTATCATCAGTTAGAGCCTCGTGCGGGCCTTTGTATTTATTCCCCTCAACAAGGTTTCATTCAAGATATGTGTGACTATATTGGTGATAAAGAGGTGTTATAAGCATAGCTTTGGCTTGCATTCTAGTGGCAGATGGGAGTTTGTTCGCTTATTTATGACCACTAGGGAAGTCAACTGTGGGTTGTTTTTGCGTGTATATGGCTAAAGTTGGCCTAAATGGCAATGTTAATAGTCTTAGAGTTGTGTGGTGGCCAAATGTTGCACTCAGACTTTTGACTTTGATTGTGGGGACCCTTTCTTTCTAGTTGGACTAGACTAGAACCCAACCATCAGTTTTGGTTCATGAAAATCATGAACCAGGATCAGAACCATGAAAGGTGGTCTGGTTCCAATTATAGGCCTTCACGGTTCCGAGCCTTTATGGTTCCAGCCAGTTCTGGTTTCGGTTTAACTTAAAAAAATATAATTTTAATTTATTATTAATTTAATCTTACACATTTTTTGGGTCATAAAATATTTTTTAAGTATTATAAATTTTTTTTCTTATAAATATAAGAATTTAGTCTTATAAATATTTTAACTCCATAAAAACTTACAATAGTGATATTAAAATTTGTGAAAATATGAATTCTATAATTTTTTTTGTTAATTAATGCACCTAAAATAATTTTTAAACTAAGAAAAACAATTTTTTTCTCACAGTTTTTTATAATTCTTCATAGTTCACTCATGGCTCTTTGTGGTTGAGTTCTTCATGGTTCTTTATGGTTGAGTTCTTCATGGTTCCAGTTCACAGTTCAATCGTGGTTCAATCCTCATAGTTGAATCTTGGTTCCAATTCTCTCATTCTAGAATGGTTTTGGTTCTGGTTGCGGTTCCAGTTTCGGTTCCGGTTTAGGTTTCAAAAATCGGGAACCCTAACCAAACTGCGAAGGTTTCTGGTTCCGAACTGAACTAAACTAGATTTAAATGGTCCAGGACTGTGGACAGGGCTACTTCGCAATGGCTAAGATAGCATTGGTTTCTTTATTCATTTATGGCTGCCAATGGCCCTTTCACCAGCTAGACATGAAAAATGCTCTCTTAAATGGGAAGTTACGGGAGGTCTGTATAGAATAACTGCCTTTTTTTGGCTCTTCGGAGGAGTTTGGCTTGGTATATTAACTACGTTTCTTTCTTTATAGTCTGAAGCAATCTGCAAGAATGTGAATTGAAAATTGGAAAGAAATAATTCTTGTATTGAAGAAAATTCTCTCTCGGCACAATGAGGATGATAGAGAATCCTGTAATCTCCCTTCCAGCACTCAATTAATCCAAAAACTACCTTCCCTTCTCTCTACCCACCTATTTATACTTCCATTAATTGCATTCAACAACTAACCAACCAACAGAATACTAATAACAGCATCTTATCCTACACCCCACCCTTACTTCTTCTAACATACACATGTTATCATGGAGGTTTGCTAACACAATCTTCACGGGCTTGATTTTGTCAGCTTTCTACTGTTGTTCAAGAGTTTAGTATTACTCAAAGTGAGATAGATCACTCAATGTTTATCATCATTCACCGCTACACTACTGCATCTATCATGTTGTTTATGTAAATGATACAAGGATAACTGATAATAATCAGGATGGCCTTAATAAGTTGAAGCAACATCTTTTTCATCATTTTCCAAAAAAAAAAAAAAAATGCTTTGGCCAAACTTAAATATTTTCAAGGCATTGAAGTGGCTTAGATATTTCACAGAAGACATGCCTTGGATGTTTTGGAGGAAAGAGCTACGTTGGATCCTCAACATATTGATACTCCAATGGATTCAAATGTTAAACTCCAACCAGGTAGGGGGAACCTTCAGTAGATACCAGTTGGTATGGGAGACCAGTTGGGAAGGTGAATTATCTCACAGTGACTGCCTTCTCTCTTTCTCTTTTTTTTTTTTTTTTTTTTTTTTTTTTTTTTTTTTTTTGCTGTGAGTGTAGTTATCAGTTTCAGGACTCTTTATGTGACAGTGATTGGAATGCTGCAATTTGCATCCAAAGGTATATCAAGAAGGTATTAGGAAAGAGATAGTAACCGAATATGGTAGTCAAATCAAGTGCAAAGGTGGAATGTCAAGCTATGACTGTGGCAATATGTGAGATTGTTTGATTGAAACAGTTACTTCTAGAGTTAAAAGTTGGGGGAAATTGTTCAAACGAAGCTAATAAGTGACAACCAAGCAGCATTCCGTATATCTTCCAATTCAATGTTTCATTAGAGGGTGAAAATCATTGGGATCAATTGCCACTTTGTCAAAGAAAAGATAACTTGAAGGAGTTTGTTACTGATTTTGTTTACTTGAATAACCAATTGGCAGATATCTTCATTAAATACCTTAGAGGCCCTCAAGTTGATAATATCTCTAACAAGCTTAACACATGATCTATGTGTGCTAGCTTGAGGTCCAGGTCAGAATGTTCTTTTATATATAGGATTAATTATGTACAGCTGTATTTTAGATACAGTTTCAATATTTTATAATATTCAGTTTAGTGTAAATACAGATTCAGCATATTGTTTAAGCTAATGTGCATTGTCTGACCTTGTTTTCTCTACTTCTCTTTTTACCTAGAACATGAAACAAATAGCTTGGGTTCTCATATTCCACAATTTGATTGTTTAGTTTCCATTTGTTTGTGAAGTTCCTTCGAGCTCCAAATATGACTATTGCGTGGGATACGTGTAGTTGATGAGAAAATCAATAGATAATTATTTTGGTTGCTGAACTTGTTTTTGCTAAACTCTTTTTAGGCACTGATTTTTGAGGTCAAGAAAAATTTGACAAGTGTGACTTGAACAATTTTTATATGAAATCATATTATAGTGCTTGGATGGTTAAAAGAATAATTATGAAACCTTCTAAAATCTTACTTTTGGATGAAGGCTCGCAAATTTGGCCCTTTTTTGTGAGGAAAAATTTGGGTTTTACACTTAGTCCCCATTTGGTTGGGGAGACAAGGCAGGATAAGATAAAGCTATCTTGCCTTATTTTTCCTTATCACATGTTCAGTATTTTTGTAAAAAATTAGGATAAAAATTCCAAGTAGCTGCCTTTATCCACCTTTTCTAGTTAATGTGGGGATAGATTTATCAAGCATGTTGCTAAGATAAAATCTATCAAGTTTGTATAGTGAAATTTTTTGGGGGGACAATATTACCCTTTTTCCTTCCTTCTCTGTTGTCTACTTCTTTGGCTGCCAGAATAGTTGCTGCTGTCTGAGTTCTCGTTCCACCAATTGCCGTTCTGTTCTTTCTTCTTCCAGTATAGTCGAGACCCCTTCCATAATCTTGTGCACGACCATCTACGATTGACCTTCTCAGGCACGACCTCACGTAGATCAAGCTTCTCGGCCATGATCTCATGCAGATTGAGCTTGTCCAGGTTGTCGTTTTTGGTCAATCTCTTGCAGCCATTTGGGGAAAATTTCTGGTCTTTCGTCTTCTCCAGGTCGCCGTTCAGTCCATTTGAGATCTAGATTGGGTCACTGGCATCCCAGTTTTAGTTCCGGCCAACAGGCGGCTTTGGGGGTACTTTGGTAATTTAATTTGATATCATGTTTGTTACCAACATTTAAGATAAAGATTACCGAATGAGGGGTAAAGAGTGAGAAGGTTGTCCTATCCCTCATTATCGTGTGAAGACAACCAAATGGTGCCTAAGAAGATACACCTAGTAGCTTTTTGGAAAGGCTGGGTACATTGTGTGCAGTAAATTAGTTGAGATCTTGCAGTTTGAAATCTGATTCTTGCTTTCACTAAATAATCAGATTTTTAAACGTAAAGTATAAATTGTTATAATTGTTAGATAGTCATCCCCATGCATTGAAAGTTGAGTATAAAACATTAGAATCCTTGGATGGTTACCAACGTGTAATGCAAAAGTAAATGAAAATTGAATCACCAAAGTCTTATTGAACAAAAAACTAGAAATGGTTCAAATTCTCTTCTCTATTAATTTGAATTAGTTAAGGCTGTGTTGAATTTTTGGATGTCACAATAATTATAGTCCTTAGGTACTGCGCCTTGGTTAGATAACTCCCTTTTGTTTTTCAAGAATTGATAGCTCCAAATTTGAAAAGTAGTGAAGGGAAGACAAGTTGCGGGCAATGGAGAAAAAAAACATGGAGGAGAAAGGATTTATATGTTCACATATAAACATGCCTGTGTGAGTTTGGGTATGGGCATTCGGCTTGAAGAATGATGGTAAAGAAAAACTAAAATGGGGGCTCTTCAAGTCAATCTGGCTAGCTTTAACCACATCAGCAAATTTGTATCATTTTTTTCATTTTAATCACATTTAGCTAGGTTAATGACACATACAAAAAGGGCTTACCAATTTTATTTAATTAAACTCACTTTAAAAGCTCAAGGTCTACATTTTACCTAGTATCATTGCAGAATTGAGTCCACTTGAGGGATCTCAGACATAATATAGCCTATGATCCTGTTTGATTCTGGCCTTGGCCCCCTCATCCCTCTTTGGACTTGCACAACCCCCCCCCCCCCCCCCCCAAGGCGCACATTCCACTAAAAACTACTCTGATGGGTTAGAAATATATTTCTTTCTTTGATGAAATTGAACATTTATTACTTGTGACCCCCCTTCTACTAATAAAATATAATCAAACACACAAAACCTACTTTATCTTAATCCACTTTGCTATCCCTGCTCTGAAACAAAGTCAATGACCTCTGTCTAGAGGTTTTGGAGTGGGAGAGGAATTTTTTATATGTTGTTGTTCTTCTTCTTCTTCCTCCTTTCTTTAATTGAAAAAAACATTTGCTAAATTTAAAATTTGCTGTGGTGGGCTCTGTTGGTGGCAATGCTTGAGCAATAATTACATCAGTCTCTTTCTTTGTGTACTCAAATTTTCAGTATCCATTATTATGTTTATTAACGTAGTTGCTTTGTGTAGGGAATGTGCATATTGACTCTGTCAGCAACAATTCCTGCATTTAAGCCAGCTGGCTGTGTTGGTTCTATATGCCCTTCTGCAACCCCTGTTCAATATACAATATTCTTCTTTGGGCTGTATATGATTGCACTAGGGACTGGTGGGATCAAACCCTGTGTTTCTTCCTTTTGGGGCTGATCATTTGATGATACTGATCAAAAGAGAGGGTAAAGAAGGGTTCTTCTTTAACTGGTTTTATTTTTTCGATCAATATAGGCGCTTTTGTATCAAGTAGTTTAATCGTGTGGATTCAAGACAATGCTGGCTGGGGACTAGGTTTTGGCATTCCTGCATTGTTTTGGGCATTGCTATTGTGAGCTTCTTTGCAGGCACTCCTCTGTATAGATGTCAGAAACCAGGGGGAAGCCCTCTTACTAGAATGTGCCAAGTTTTGGTTGCATCATTCCACAAATGGAATATAGAAGTCCCTGAAGACAGTAGTCTCCTCTATGAAACACACACCTCAGCAATCGAAGGAAGCAGGAAACTGGACCACACTGATGAACTGAAGTAATCTTCAGGATTCCTGGCTGAGTCTCTTATATCAGTTTTTTGCCTTTATTTAATGAGTTATCTGATTTCATCTGCAATCTGCAAGCTTAATTTAGTTATGCATGTCAAATATTGTAGGAAAATACAATAGGAAGCATAAGTTATTTTAGCATCCTCAGTTATCCTCTCTCACTTTGTTGTGGTTATATAATGCTGTGAATACAAACTATGAGTTTCTGTTTCCCATGCAAGCTATTTTCAAAATAAGGAAACTATTACATCTAAAATATCTAAATGGATGTAAAAAGCTTGCATAATTTGTCTCTCATGCCATAGAGAGCTGAGGGATTTCTATTAATGAAGTCGTATTGTGGTTTGGTGGATTCCTTTCTCAGTGCTACTAGTCTTCCTTGGAGCTAGTTCATTTATCTTTATTTTCTTTAGATTTAAAGGAAGATCCAAGACTTAGAGGAAACTTTGAGACTCGAGAGCTTTTGCAAATTGCTAAGAAGATTCAGCTGTGTGACAAAACATTAGCAGTGTGCCAGCCTAGGTCCTAATTGGAAGTTGTCTAATCTGGTGCATATTGTGAAAATAGCACTTGTATGTTTTGAATAAATTTGAATTCCAATTCTTGACAGTGTCTGTACTTCTTTCAGTGAGATATTCTTTTTTTTTTTTTTTTTGGATTGTTTTACTTATTTATTTTGGGAGGGGGCTGAGGGAGGGAGGCAAATCCTCGGATTTCCAGATAAATGAAAACCAATCTAAACTGTTGCAGGAAACAAAAATGTTCAAATAATTCAACTGCATCTGGACTAAAATGCATCAGATACTATAGTTGCCATAAAGAGAAGTGTTAGTTCATGTTAGGAATATCTAACAAAAGAAGTTTCTGTTTTCCAAGTACCTTTACACCATGTTCGATTACTTGAAAAGGTTATAGGAGATAGTGTGAGGAGGATAAGTCGTGGTAGGGTAAAACTAGTCGCTCCCACAGTACAGGATAGTGGAAGAGATGGAGTAGGATTGGGAAAGGTGGGATAGAATAAGGAGTGGAAGAAGTTGGTATTAGATGAGATGAGAAAAGGATGAGGTAGGATCCGTAGTTCTCTTCTATTAGGTGGTAATTCTTATCTCTCTATCCAGGGGAGGGGGCACTGCAGGAAACCTCAATCACATATTTATCAAACACGGGGAAATGGAGTCCACGGGGCTCCAAACAGCAGAAAAATGTTTTTCCTGGAAAGGGTTTCTGGGCCCAGAAGTTATTAAATACTGGTATATTCCAATCTGGTCCCTTACCAAAGGTATCAAACATACCCTTAATTCTGTCTTTTAAATTGCTTCTATTATCTACCTTTTTCTTATTTTTTCTTTTAGATGTTTGGCCTTGCCTTTGATCTTACTGAAAAGACCTTAGTGTTGTTGATGAAGCACCTCCTGAGACCTGGCATCCCCTTGACCTTTGTATCTTGTAAAGTGTCAACTGTACTAGTTGTTGATGAAATGTGATATCAACCTTTTTCTGGTCAGAATCTTAAGTTGGATAACATTGAGTAGTTTGCCCATTAATTTTCTGATTTTCAGCTAGCACTATGCGTTGACATTTATTTCAACTCATTTGGCTGTACCCTTTACTCAATTATGTAATAATTTCAACTCATTTGGCTGTACCCTTTACTCAATTATGTAATTATTTCTTATTTACATGTTCAGAAAGGTTTAAGGTTTCTTAAATGGTTACTTGACCACTTTCATTTTATTTAAAAAATATGCCTTTCTCCTATTAGTTAAATTGATGTGAAAGAAAAAAAAAAAGAAACTTTTTTTTTCTCGTCTCTTGCTTTTCAACTTCTTGAGTTACTATTTATTGTATATTTTTTGGTGCTTTTTTTTGGGGAGGGGGGGTTGATTCTTGGACTGTTACTGTAAATTGTTTTGATAAAACACAAAGCCTTATGTTACTTTCACCAGCTAAATTACATGGTTTAACGGGAAAGTTTGAATAGGCAATGGTCCTTTAGTATTTCTTCAAAAATGCAAGAACTTTAATGAATTGCGTGGAGTATTGACACAAAAATTATTGGAACAATGTTTTATCAGAAACTCCTGTTTTGTTCTGGGAAAATGATTTTCTTAGATATAATGCTCTCTCAAGTCATATACTCATCATTCTGCTGACAAATTTAATTTATAATATATGAATACTTATTTATGGGCTTTATACTTAATGATCCATTCTCACATTGTTTTGTGGACAATTGCCCTATTTTTCTCTAATATTCGTTAAATTCCTTATCCTTGTGTAGGTGCCTTGATAAAGCTGCTGTGATATCAGATGATGAGAACAAAAGTGAAGAGTTTTCCAATCCATGGAGACTCTGTACAGTAACACAGGTGGAAGAACTAAAAATCTTGATTCGCATGTTTCCAATATGGGCTACTGGAATTGTGTTTGCTGCTGTTTATGCACAGATGTCTACTATGTTTGTTGAGCAAGGGATGATGATGGACACAACAATTGGTTCCTTCGCTATTCCTGCTGCATCACTTTCAACATTTGATGTCATCAGTGTTATTTTCTGGGTACCTGTCTATGATAGGTTCCTCGTCCCAATTGCAAGGAAATTCACTGGCAAGGAGAGGGGCTTCTCAGAGTTGCAGAGGATGGGGATAGGCCTTTTTATATCAGTTTTATGCATGTCGGCAGCTGCTTTGGTGGAGATGAAAAGGCTGTCAATAGCTAGAGCTCTTGGTTTGGTTGATGAAGCTGTTCCAGTGCCACTCAGTATCTTATGGCAAATACCTCAGTACTTCTTGTTGGGTGCTGCAGAAGTATGTACATTCATTGGGCAGCTTGAGTTCTTCTATGACCAATCACCAGATGCCATGCGTAGCTTGTGCAGTGCATTGGCGCTACTGACAACTTCGTTGGGCAATTACTTGAGCTCTTTTATTCTGACTGTTGTGACATACATAACAACTAAAGGTGGACGGGTTGGATGGATCCCAGATAACTTGAATGAGGGTCATCTTGATTACTTCTTCTGGCTTTTGGCTGGACTCAGCTTCTTAAACATGGTGGTTTATGTATTCTGTGCCAAAAAGTACAAACATAAACGGGCATCTTGAATTATCCTTCACAGACAATTCAAGGATCGGGCTTCTGCTACAGATGCTGTAGGTGTGCTCTCCAATCCTGGAATTCATATTTCCGACCAAGTTGAAAGGAGATGTGACATAGTAACGTGTAAAGATTTATTTTTCTCTGAACTCTCAAGGAATTTACGTTTTTGCATTTTTACATTTACAGGCTATGAAGTTTCAACTTGTTCTGATGTAAAAATTTCCAAACCGGTATTTTCAAAATTGTTAAAAGTTGTCTGCATTTCTTTTTTGTGGTCCTGCTGAATATTGCCTGATATTGTCTGTGGTCTGACTGCACCACATATTATAATAATAATAATGAGACACTTCATCAAAAACTGAGTCCATCTTGAGAAGCTTGTGCCCTGAAAATACGTAAAAAATACTATTATGGCTGGAAAATCTTCGTAAATGTAACGTGTTTACAACAATTTTTGTCAGTTGAATATTCGCTTCTCAACGTTAATGACTTGAAGACTGAGTGCAATGAAATTTTTCACGAGGTCTTAGTTATGATATAATTTCTCATTATCAAAAGCAAGATATGAATTTTGAGCAATAGAAGCTAGAGTCAACTCTAAACCGTCTGTCAAAGTTGAAGATGTTGAACATATTTTGTGAACCAAAAAGGCAAAAATTTAGTGATTAATTTTCTTACCTATTGGTTTGCAAATTAAAGGGCTTAGAAGATTGACTCCGGTAGTAAATTTCAAGGCAAACAATTGCAGTTGTATTTCCCAAAACTCGAGTACGAGTTTTTGCCCACTGGGTAGAATGACTTGGAACAGAAGCAAATTTCTGGTCATTCAGAAATTATTTTTATAATAATTTAATGCTATTTCATTATTGCGTTTATCTGGAAGCATTTTGGTTAATCTAGATAAGATTGTATTACTAACGGTTTGGATTTATTAATTTTAGGAGCTAGTCTTTGATTAGGATTAGAATTCGGAATAGAATTTCTAGTTTCTATATATTCGGTAACAATTGGTTTTTGACTTATGATGATTATTAAGCATCTGAGAATCCTGTTGATATTGTCTGGGTTTCTCTCTTGAATTGGACTTCATCCTACCCCTACTTCACCAAGGCAACGGAGAACCTACCATTCAAGGCTAGATTCAGCAATGGAAGATCTCTTCATCTAATGGAAGCAGCAGCAGCGAGCTATTCTTATAATGTTTAGTCGAGTCAGAGTATGATCGGGCACTTGATTCAGCTCCTAGACTATTGCCAACCCTCATTTACTTCACAATAATCTGTCTCTGCTTTTTCCTCATCTTGTTGAGGAAATTCAGCTATTGCTTCTTGTCAGAGAGAATGATCACTGAGCTAAACTAAACAATCCTCCATTGTCTGTCCTCCAGGTTAGGCCTTTCAGAAGAATTTCCAGTAGGAAAAGCAGAAGAATATGGAGCAGGATCCCTGGTTCTATTCTATCTGCTGAATATTTGTTATGTCACAACACTAACCATAGGGAAGATGGATCCTTTTCACCAAGCTCTCCCATAATTTAGCTAGAAAACGCTAAATCAATTGTAGGCGATGCAACTGGCCCTCCATTCGGGTGACAAACATATAACCAGCTCGCAAAAGATATTTTTTACATGGCATTTTTACCAGGCCTTCTGTGAACAGAAGCCTGAAGATCATCCACGGCTTTCTCATTCACTTTTTCTTCCCTCTACGTGCAAGGGACAAGTGCTGAGACTAATAGTTTAAACATATTCATATTTTTCAAAATTAAGTAGGTTAACCAACATTCATATGCAATTACTTAAATCTAAAAACAGACCATTATATGGGTACAAGAATTTTAAGTCAAACATATTTCAGTTAATACTAAAATAATTAAAATAGGTCATTTTTATTTTCTTTATAACTTATTAATGTTCTCCTGGATTTTTTAATTTGAGAAATTTAGCACTTAGAACTCGTTTCATAAAAGGTGGGTTTGAAGAATTTCGAGAAAAGTGGGAGTTTGGAGAAAGTAGATTATTTAAAAAAAATTGTTATTTTATTACATATGAATGATAAGTAAATTCTAAATAAAGTATCTAATTTATCTCTCTTTTTTATAACCCTTTTATTACATTTTATAACACATTTGGGAGGGGGGGGGGGGTAGCCAAACTCCCCAATGTGTCAAAGAAAGCTTAAGCTAACTCCTAAACTTCATTTTCAAACAATGCCGTAACATAATTTCAGTATTTAAAATATTCAGCAGTTAATTTTCAATCAAATTGAGCCTTTTGAACACAGGAAGAAGAGATTGTTAAGGAAAATAGTATATAAATAAACTGGTAAAGAACCTTCAAAGCATGTTAAATACTTTCTTTTATGTTTAATTTGCCCACCACCAGTACAAAAATCTAGATACAAATGGATACAAGCAAATTTTTTGCAGAATATTATGAAGAATAGTTAATTCGTTTTGCACTACCAAATTCAAGCCAACAACAATGGGTTTTACAAAACAATAGTTTCTTATTTTTCTATCGCGCAACAAAGAAATGCTCGACAATTTAGTTATACAAAAATCATTTGTCTTGGCAAGAGTGTTAATTTTTCCTTTTATAAGAAATTCTTCAACAGTCATATACTGTTTTTAATAGCTATAAATTTTCAAGAATTAATACCGTAAACTATGATAATAGATAACGATGAAAAAAAAAATAAATTAAAATAATTAATAACACATGCATGTGTCACATGTCCAAGTGTCAAAGAGTACCCCAAAAGCACCAAATACATCCATGCCACGTGCATGTGTGGGTGGTCTATGTGACATAGTTCCCTTATAACAAATTTTTAACATGAAATATGAACTTTCTATATATAAAGTTTCTTCATATCTCATAAATATTCAATTTGAGATTAAGCCATTCCTTTATTTTGAAAATTTCTCTCACACAACATTGAGTCGACAATAGCCAACAATGGTTCTCAATAATAAACTTAGCTTAAAGGTTCCAAAATTTTGTAGGTCATAGCAACATTTTTTTATGTGAGCCAACACTCATTAACTAAATGTGAAATGTCCGGTTAGGTACAATGTCTCGAATATATTTTATTATTTGCACCTTTTCTGGTAATAAATTCTTATTTTGTATAATTCTATACTTTATAAAATATAATTAAATGTTCTTTATTTGTTACAGTCAAATATTTAATAAAAAGGATGGATAATATCTATTATCTAATATCAATGATTGTAGAACATTGAATATATTTGATATTGACAAATATCTCTTTGGGACTGATTAAGTAGGCTAGATAAGGTTGGATAATATTATTAGTTTTTTAAACTAAAAAGCAAAGGATGGAAGAGTTGTTTGATATCGCATAAAGAAAAGAAAGATATAGGGATATAATAAAACGAAAGGAATTCAGTTTCGTTTGATGTTTCAAACTTACATTTAAAACTTTGAAAAAAACTGAAAACAAGAGCATCATGGTCCTAAATCCAAGCCATGATCAACAACACGCTATAAAGAGACTAACTGCTTTTTAAAGACTAGGAAGACAATTCAATAACTGAACCAACAAATAAATAAAATAAATAAAGAAAGAAGAATATAGGACATGTGGACATATTGCAGTCCTAAAGTAACTAACACACAAATATTTTGTAATTTCCCCTCACAGATATTGCAATCCAATGGTGCTAATGAATTAGACAAGTTTGTGGTATGGCGCTGATACCTTTTTATGTCGTTGATTTTTACTTTCAAAAAGGACATTGTATTCAGTCACACAATTTAAATGTTAGAACTATAATATCTTACAACTGATAATAGATGATGCAACACACAAATAATATGTTAGCACAAATAATAACTGCTGCATCAATTGCATAATGAGCGGAAGGTCTTGAGAAATATCAAATGGAAGAGTAAGACTGGATATATTGATGAGCATTAGCTAAGAAATATGTCAAAGCATTGTCTTCGGCCCCCACCTCACGTATGACTCTAAAGGTCTTGTCAACAAGATTGTAATGTATGAGCTTGCCAGGAATTTGTAGTAGCAGATATGATTCCCCATCCTTCTCTTCGCGCACAAGAGAAAGCACGCTGTACGCAAAGAAGGGTTGATCTGTCTTTAGTACATTCCTCATTTTAGGAAACACGTTTGCAACTGTGTCCAAATCAACCTGGTACTTGACAAACCAACACGAATAGTCGCTTTCCAAACTCAAAAAACATTGAACTGGATTAGCATTGGATTATAGATATCAATCATATGCAAATGATCACGAGACTCCAGCTAGTACCTTAAGCCTCTATCATACCATTGTCTGCCATCTAGAAGAAGAGGCATTGGGAGTTTGCCAAGCCACTCTTCTTGGATGTTGAAGTACAGTGCATCACCCCAATCACACCACCAATGAATGGAACCCCTCCAATACACCCATCCTTGGAATATCAAGTGATGAGCATCAGAAGTGAATGTGTCACCCAAAGCACGCCAAGACCTGGTCTTTGATGAATATATCTCGATGTGGTAATACACCTCCCACTAATTCCAGACATATTTTATGTCTGACTCCGAATGCTGACAACTTTGTACTAAGGAGAAATTGAAGGGTCGAAAGCTAACAGAGGGCTTCTAGGCCATTAGGATGGGGACCTGGCAAAGTGACGAATTGGTTGGTAGTTAGGTTGAGTACACAGTAACCATATTTGCTCTCGTTTTGATTGTAGCCTGAGCAACATATGATGCCATGGCATGAGCTTAGAATTGTTATATCTGAAAGTTTTGGGATTTTGAATTCGTCATCTTTGTTGTGTCCTCATGAACAGCTAGATTGTTATTGTCGTCAGTCATTGTTGGCAAAGTTGAGGGGGATAAAGTGAAGGCCTGGATAAGACGGACGACTATAGAGGTTACCAGGGTGCAATAGCAACCCAAAAAAAGATGATGAAGACGTGGTTGGGGACATGGGTTTTCGAATGTTGGCTCTATTTTGTTCTCTTGTCAAT